CATGACACGCGACGGTGAAGTGCCAGGTGCCGACGGTGTGAACCATCCCGTGACACAAGACGGTCAAGCCCTAGCTCTGCTGGTGTGAACTGTCCCATGACACACGATGGTGAAACCCTAGCTCTGCCGGTGTGAACCATCCCATGACACATGACGGTGAAGTGCTAGGCACTGATGGTGTGAACCATCCCGTGACACATGACGGTGAAGCCCTAGCTCTGCCGGTGTGAACTGTCCCATGACACATGACGGTGAAGTGCTAGGCACTGACGGTATGAACCGTCCCGTGACACAACAGTAAAGCCCTACCTCTGCTGGTGTGAACTGTCCCATGACACACGATGGTAAAGCGCTAGGCACTGACAGTGTGAACCATCCTGTGACATACTATGGTGAAGCCCTAGCTCTGCCAGTGTGAACCATCCCATGACACATGACGGTGAAGCACTAGGCACCGACGGTGTGAACCATCCCGTGACACATGACAGTGAAGCGCTAGGCGCTGATGGTGTGAACCGTCCCGTGACACACGACGGTGAAGCCCTAGCTCTGCTGGTGTGAACTGTCCCATGATACATGAGGTGAAGCCCTAGCTCTGCCGGTGTGAACCATCCCGTGACATGTGATGGTGAAGTGCTAGGAGCTAACAGTGTGAACTGTCCCGTGACACACTATGGTGAAGCACTAGGTGCTGATGGTGTGAACCATCACATCACACACTACAGTTACAGCACTAGGTATGGAAGGAGATGAGAACAGACCTGAGATTTCCTGTTAAGTTTATCCCCATTCAAACAACAACTGCACGTCTGAGCAGGAGCCTGGACATACAGCGTTGACTCAGAAGTGTGTGCAAAGAGCTCAGGTACCTGTGTGTTCTGTGTGGGGATCTGCAACAAGAGCGCCAGTGCGTTGAAATCGAAGGTTTCATCTAAGGCCACGAGTGCGCCATGTACACCACTCTCGATGAGATTGTTTGCATATTCTTTGAGACCGATAGACAGGATCCAACGTATCACTCGGTCATTGCTCCAGACCAGCACGTCTGTAGAAGGAGAACAGTGGACAAGTGGCTTCAGAGCCCATCCTCCTCTACACAACCTGTGATGCAGCAGGCTGTTCCCACCAGGGGTCCTGACAGAAGACACAGTCTCCATGCATGCAGGTGACATGGCCCTAGGGACAGAGGTCACCCACTATGTTGACACCCAGGGACAGAGGCTACTCGCTGAGTTTACTCCCAGGGCTTACCCTCCACCCATGGAGACTCTGCCACATTCAACAGCATTCTTCCCGTGGACCTAAGGGGACAACTTTACCATGGATGTTTCATCGCTAGGGAATGGGAAATGGTGAGAAAATGGTATAGCACAAGAAGGAATCAGTATCTACCACTAAGAACAAGGCCTTTGGAACCCATGTCTCCATGTCTGAAAGGAGCCAGCCCCACGTCTGGGCACTGTGCTCAGTGCCACCCTGACCCCTTTCCAATGTTGGTGACTATGTTCTGTTGTCCCGTTGTGACAATTATATTAGAGATTTGGGGAATGATCTTACACAAATTCGTAAGTTACCAAATTTGCTAGAGGTGAAATCTAGTAATAGCCACTTTGTGAAAATAGGTCCAAATGACCACCAATCACTGCAAAGGCAGCTTTCGTCAAGCTAAAAGATGTCCGATGCACTTTTTTCACCTCCAGTGCCCTTTTCTGCATAAAGGAGAGACAGACAGACACAAAGTAACTGCTGACTTAGGAGTTTGCTCATGAGTCCCAGCCCCTTAAGAGCAATCACCCTTCACCTGTATCTTTGATTCCTTTAGTAATAAAAATAGCACAGTTCTCATAAAAAGGACCCCTTGTGGTACGGTAGTTATGCGCCTGGCTGCTGACCTAGAGACTGACGGTTCAACTCCTACCAGTGCCTCTACAGGACAAAGACACAGCCATGTGCTCCCACAAACACATACAGCCTGGAAAACCCTGTGGGCCGTTTCCACTGTCACAAGGGCCACTATGAGCTGGATTCGGCTAGATGGCGCCTCCCAACCACACCACCACCCTCATGAGGCTGTGCTGAGGGACATACACTAACCCATGAAAGCGCTGGGAACGAGACCTGGCTACCAGTCCTAGGCCTCATCGCTGCTACTATTGTTAACAATCGCCTTATGTTCCCCAAATTCTGGGAGATGAGACTTGAGCTTAACGTCTTATTAAAAAGCCAATCACTGTACTTGACTCTGCTAGAGGAGCGCTGCGTGAGAAGAGTCCCATGTCGTCTGGGCAACACCCCACGCCCTCTCACCCGCCATCCAACTCTGTTTTCTGACTGATGCCTCTGCCTCCCTTCCTGTGAGAAGCTCCCCTCCTCCCTCAGGAGTAACCGTGAGGCTTTGCAGGACCCTGGAAGTAGAAATGCATGGTGCTCTTTTGTGCCCAGGAGCCCATGGCACACCTGCAGCATTTCTATCCCAAGTCACTGATGACAAACTGCAGAGCCACTCACCTGTGCTGCTGGTGTCTTAACCATGTGCCCAGGAGCCCCGCGACACACCTGCAGCAGTGCTGTCCCACATGATCAGGGACAAACTGCAGGGCCCACTCAACTGTGCTGCTGCCACCCCTGTACCCAGGAGCCCCCTGACACAGCCACAGCAGTGCTGCCCCACGTCATCAAGGACAAGCCATAGGGCCTCTTGTCTGTGCCACTGGCAGCTAACCGTGTGTGCCAGCACCTCTGAATCTCAGAGCCCCGAAGGTCCAGCAGGGCACACTGCTACAGTCATAGGAAAAAAGCTTCACTCAAGGCACGCAAGCTACAGACTGACGTCAGCACAAGTTCTGTGGCTCCCAAAGAGCATCTCAATAACACCCGTTTTTATCTCCCCTCCCTGACATCCCGACGCCAGGCCGGTTCTTCCACTTGGAGCCCTCCCTGACGCTGTTCAAACACATCGGTGAGGGTGCCGTGCGTGGGGAGCAGGGAGCACACTGGCCTTTGACTTCGCTCTGGCTCTCCTCCCTCTTCCGTTCCAGCTCTTTCCGGTCGTAATTTAACCTTCGCAGGCACATGATTCCACACTGGAAACTATTTCTGTTCAAGGAGGAGAGGGGACAACGCATTAGAGATGGCAGTGAGTAAACACCTCAGAGGGGGTCGGGAGCAGCGAGCTGCGGTCGCCAACCTGTGGAAACTGTCCACCATCTTGAGCTGCCCCCGCAGGTCCTTCTTCGTCAGGTGGTCCAGCATCCTGGCGTCCACCAGGCACTCCATGAAGTAGCTGCGGTACTGCGGCAGGCCCAGGCTGGGCAGCCACTCATTGCCGATCCACTCGTGGTTCATGTCCCCATACGCAAGCGTCTGCTTGTACAGAACAAGTAAGATTAAACTCAGAAAAATACCCGCAAGGCAGCCGTAAGAGCAGCCTGAAATAACTTAAACTGGACTTTAATCTATTACATGCTTTCAAAGGCTAGCTAGTGACAACACTGCTGTTTCTAAAAAATAACTGATCTCACATTTTCCACTTTTTAAAATGTCAATTAAATTTCATAGAAATGATACCATTCAAAATCTATAGTCATTTGTGTTTGTAAACTTAACTCATCTCTCACACCCCACAAGAATATGGCTGAATACAAACCCCTTCTCTGAAGCAGTTTTCATTTTGTAATAAAACATCAAGGAAGGCCCACGACTCATGAACAAGTTTGAAGGGTCACGCCAGCTCTTCTCATTAACAAAGCTCTGGCTGGAGTTTAATGTAAATACTTTATTTCCCAATTTCCCTAAGCAAAATATCTGTTAATTTCAAAATCATGAAAAAAGAGAATTAAAAAAGTTTAGAAACAGAGATAAACAAAGCAACTGACAGAACCGAAAGGAGAAAGATCATGTCCAGTTGTAGTTGGAAGACCTCCACGCTCCTCCACCAGTAAGTGACTGAAAAAGCAAATGGGGAAGAAAAGAAAGAAACAAATCAGAAAGGGAGCGGAAGACTGAACGGTGCTGTGAACCAGCTGGCCCAGCCGACACTCAGAGCACTCCACTCAGTGGGGAAGACATGTTCTCTTCAAGCACATGTGGGACGTTCCCAAGACAGACAAAGTGCAGCTTACTTAAAGAGCCAGAAATCATTCAAAGTGCGTTGTCTGGCCTAAGCAGAACTGAATTAGAAATCATCAATTAAAAGATGTCTGAAAATGCTCAAATACTTCTGAATAACCCATACGTCAAGAAGAAATGACAAGGAAAATGGAAGATATTTTGAACTGAATGAAAGTGAAAATACAGACCATCCCAGGTCTGTGGGATGCAGCTCCAGCAGTGCTTTGAGGGAATTTATGAAGAAAGGTCACAAATCACTGGAAACGATCACATGAAATCCAAAGCAAGCAGAACAAGGAAAATGAAAGACAAGAGCCGGAGTCGTTAACACAGACAAAAACTCACACCGTAAACAGATGAAACTGAAATCTGGTTCTTGGTAATAAGCATCAATACATGGGGCAAACTCTAAGCCAGACTGATCAAGAAAAAAGAGAAGACACAAATGATCCAACACTGAGCATCAAACATGAAAGAGGAGCTATTAGTACAGATGCAGCAGCCACTGAACAAGTAAGGAGAGTGCAGACAAGCTCCTGGAGAGATGTGGACCATCAGAGCTCCCACGGTAAGAAGGGAGTAACAAAGAGAACCCTACATCCACCAGAACTTTAATTGTAGCAAAAGTCTACCTACAAAATAAGCCAAAAAACCTCTAACCCAGATGGCTTTGCTAGTTCCACCAAACATTTATGAAAAAATTTACCAGCTGTATGCAAATTATCCCGAAAAACCCAAGAAACTTTCTAATTAATTTTACGAGACTGGCATTACCCTGATACCAAAACCAAAGACATTATAAGGAAAAAAAACCTAAAGACCAATATCCCTTAGGGATACAGATGCAAAACTCCTTATCAGAATATTAGCAAGTCAGACCTACAGTAAATGAAAAGGACGGTACATCACAGAAAGTGGGGTTTATCCCAGGCAATCAAGGTAGTTCAACATTTAAATCAATGTCACTCACCAAATCAATAGAGTGACACAGGAAAACCAAAGTGCCATCACCAAAGATGCAGAGAAAGCACGGAGCATTCTAGGAATGGAAGGAGCTGTCTCAATCTGACAAAGGGCATCTACAAAAAGCCATGGCTAACAGCATACCTCCTGGTGCAAGGCTGACTGTGGTCCTCCCAAGAGTAGGTACAAAGAAAGGATGCCTGCTCCCACCACCTCAATCCAATGTGTACTGGAGGCCCCGGACAGGAGAGAAGCAGGAGAAAGAAATGACAGGCCCACAAACTGGAGAAGAAATCAGACTGCTTTATTTGCAGATGGCAGGGACTTATACATGAGGTCGGCAAAGTCACAGGAGACAAGGTCAATAAACCAAAATGAGTTGTATTTCTCAACCCTAGCAGTGAACAACTGGAGATGGAAACATACCATCAATGAGAGCAACATGAAACATGAAATTCTCAAGGGCAAATCTGACAGAATAGGTGCAAGATCTGTGCACTGAGAAAGTATTAAACACACACACACACACACACACTCACACACACAGTCGGAGAAAGGCACCTGGCATGCTTCAGCAGAGAAAGGCTGAACCATGTTCACAGAAATCCTGTACTTACATTTTAGGATTCCTGGAAACAGTAGCTCTCAACTGCCACTAACTTCTGATCTGCAACCATGACGTCTGTTCTAGCTTGTGGAGAATGACACAACTCGAACAAAAAATGCTTGTGTTTTAATGGAACAGAAGGTTCACTATTTTCTTTGAACAACCACAGGCAAGAAAAACATGGAACGGTTTGGGGTAACTGTCAGCATACCTAATAATACACCATGTTCTGGTCACTGTTTCAAACCTGACTTGACACTCAAAGCATGAGTGTCTGGGGCTGTTCTCGTTTGCTGACTGTGTGTTCTCATTTGGATGCAACTGTGGAACGAATTCCAGGGAGCAGAGCCGCACTTATCTGGGTGGACTCACTCACATGCTCTCTCCACACTGCAGCTGGGCTGGTAATGGGAGCTTCTGCAAGGCTCTGGCTCAGTCTTGGGAGACCCACGGCTCTCCCAGGCTGCCATAGCAGCCTTCTGAAAAGGTGTGTGCCAGGGGTGTCAGGGGCCAGCAGAGATGCCCACCCGACAGGACGGCTGCCAGCGCAGGCTGAGTGACTGTGTATACAGCGGGGCTCCGCGATGCAGCGGATCGCAGTGTCGGCTGCCACCTGTGACCAGCGGGGCACCACAGTCCCGGCACAGTCAGCATCCTCGACTACCTGGAAACGAAGGCACACGTGGTCTGGCCACACCGTGACGTCTCCTTCTGAATTTGCTCAGTTTGAGAGGCCTGCGCCTTCACGTCCCAGGCGCACGCCATACACACCACACAGCTTTGTCCTTGCAGCACGTGGCTGTCGCAGACACCAAAGACTGCACTTCTTTGCGCTTCCCGGCCAGGGACAGCGGGAAAGGGGCACAGGCTTGTGACACCGCCAGCCTGTTCTTATTGATGCTGCCACTGCAAAGCGCCAGCTGACTCTCCCAGCTTTCCTCAGGGACACTTCACGCCCCAGAGACACACAGACTCTCGGGTTAAAGCACTTCAGAGTAAAGGAGCTAAGAAATCACGGCACGGCCAGTCATCCCTGGTCCTGTCGGGGTGAACTGCCCGGATTAGACAGTCAACGGGATTGCTGATCTGCACCAGAGGCTCCGGGCTAAACAGTCGATGGGATTGCTGATCCGCACTAGAGGCCCGCGATGCCTCAATCAAGGGCAAACCCCACAGAATCACACAACACCCAGTCTTCTCCTTTGTAATCGTGGCTCTAGCTTTA